TCATCCGGCGCACCCAAACCACCAAACATGAAACCGCTCAACAAGAGCTCTATATTCGCGGACGCCTCCGACGAAGAAGAAGGAGAAGCAACAAACACCCCCACCTACGGCCTCAACACCTCCACCAGCAGCAAACCGAAACCCAAATCCAAAGACCTCGACACTACAAAACCCTACACCAACCTATCCGCCCTCCATAGCAGCCGAAAACACGCGGCGGAAGCCTCCGAACTCGACCCGACAATCTACTCCTACGACGCGGTGTACGACAGCCTACACGCGAAACCGAACAAGGACAAGAAGGCCTCGGATAGTGAGAGCGGCTCGACCGTGCCGAAATACATGACGTCGTTGCTGCGCAGCGCGGAGATCCGTAAACGGGATCAAATGCGAGCGCGGGATCGTCTGCTCGCGAAGGAGCGCGAAGCCGAGGGCGACGAGTTCGCGGACAAGGAGAAGTTCGTGACGGCGGCGTATAAGGCGCAGCAGGAGGAGTTGCGGCGGGTGCAGGCGGAGGAAGAGGCGCGGGAGAAGGAGGAGGAGGAGAGACGGAAGAAGAATGGGGGGTCTGGGATGGTGGACTTTTATCGGGATATGTTGTCGCGTGGGGAGGAGAGGCATGAGGCTGTTGTGAAGGCGGCGGAGGAGGCGGCGAAGAAGGTGAAGGAGGGTGGTGGTGTGGGTGAGGAGGAGAAGGAGGAAGGGGAGAAGGAGAAGAAGGAGAAGAGTGAGGCGCAGATGGCGGAGGAGTTGAATGCCAAGGGGGCGCATATTGCGGTTAATGATGAGGGTCAGGTGGTGGATAAGAGGCAGTTGTTGTCGGCGGGGTTGAATGTCGCGCCGAAGCCGAAGCAGACGCAGAAGGAGAAGGATGCGGCGGCTGCGGCGGCGTCGAGGGCTGCGGTGCAGGCTTCGAGGTTTGGGGCGCAGAAGCAGGCCGAACGCGGTGGACAGCGTGCGCGCCAGACGGAGATGATTGCATCGCAGTTGGAGGAGCGGGCGAGACAGGAGGAGGAGGCCGAGGCGGCGCGGCAGAAGGAGATTGCGGAGCGGAGTCGCAGTCGCAAGACGGAGGGGGATGTTATGAGTGCGAAGGAGAGGTATTTGGCCAGAAAGAGGGAGCGCGAGGCTGCTGCGAAGAAGGCGTGATTGTCTACTCTGTGAGTGGTAGATTGCATATGGCTGGCGTTGGATATGGATTCTGTATAGTGTATGATATAATGAATGATTGGCGGTTATACTAGAATGGTATGATCCTTCGGGTACTTAAATGGTAGTGGCAGTATCTCTGTATTACGGGGCGAACTAGCAAGTGGACTCGTAGTGAGACAGTATATATGGTCTTTCGTTACTCGTTTCCTAATCATAAACCTAACGCCAGGAATGCTATCTCTTGACTAAGTGTTCTAGTATAAGAATGCGCTGCATCTTGAAATACTTTTACCACCAACGCCGTTTAGTATGACTATGCAGTCAGGGCGAAACTGAGCCCCATCAGGACCATTCCTCCGATAGCGAACCCAGTGCACATTCCCCGATTGTGAGTTAGGGTAAGGCCTTCGCTGAACAGCTGCAGAGCAACCGAGATCATGACGCCCGCCGTCGCGGCAAACATACCGCCGTAGACGCCCCAGGACGGGCCAGCGGCATCGTCGCCATTAGCACGCCGAGCACCCCATATCCAGAGAGCTGCCAGCGCAGCGCCTGCAGGTTGGCTGATGCCGCCTAGCAAGCTTGACCAGAACATGGCCCAGCCGCGCGAATGCAGCGCGAGATACAGAGGTAAGGCCATGGCGAATCCTTCGCTGATGTTGTGGATGAAAAGAGCCAAGAAAACCGTGAGACCTAAAGTCGGGCTCGCATGGTTCGTGGCATAGGTGATAAACCCCTCCGGCAACTTGTGCAAGGCAATTGCTATAGATGTCTGCAGACCGATGGAGAGAAAGGCGTTCTGTGGCACATGGTGATGGTGTTGGGGATTGGGTGGCGGCTTAGTACCGTCTTCCGGCGCCATATCCTGGTCGTCAAGGAGCCCGGTCCGGGAAGAAGAGGAACTCGCCTCTTGACGTCGAATTTGCGAGGATGGCAGGTTTGCCTCCAGATCATCTAGTCGTGCCGAGTCCACTTGCACGGATATGCTGTGGGGGTGCGGCAGCGGCGGGCGCACGGTGCCGTCATCCAGGACAGAGATTTCCGGTCCCTCGAGGGTCTTGGTGCATTCGTGCCCGCACGCCTGCGAGAAGCCAAAACAGGGACCATTCTCATCGCAATGTGATTTGACTCCGCCAACCAGACGACTAATGCGTCGTGTCAAGCGGATATGCAGGGATTCCCTTCGCACAAGTGCGCCGGGGTCTTCACCAGCTGCGGGGACGGTCACAGTGGCCGGGGAAGACTTGTGAGTCAAAAGAGGAGTTCGCTCATTCAGATGGTTAGGGTCGTGGGAGTGTAAATGACCGTCTGGCTTGCCCCCGTGTTCATGATCAGAGGTGGGGTGTGGCTCATGTGTATGAGCACAGTCGACGACATGTGACGGTATGTAGCGATGCAATAGTGCCGATGCCAAACGGATGATGACCGCGCCCGCCAGAAAGAGACCGATAAGCACGTATGCAGCAAGCGAGGGGGACAAGCCAGCTCGAGTCAGGTACCGATGAGAAGTAGGCAGCATGCTATAGAGAGAAGTGTAAAGCTAGCGCGGTCAGCATGGTACCAAAGTTAGGGTCAACTGGTCAGAGAGAAATACCATGACGCCCGCGCTCAGACACAATGACGCAGATAAGAAGCCATTGTTATGGACGATCTGAAAGCTTTTGCGGCGAGACAATCGCCGTAAAACAAGATCCACACAAATGACAGACGATCCCAAGACACAAGCTGGATTATGTTAGCTAGCGAAACTTAAGTACTATATAGAAGAAAGACTTACCCACGCCTGACACGGCGCTCATGACCCAGCCCCGTAGGTCATTGCTGGCAGCCATGATGAATAGAAGGCGAAATTGCCAGCAATTAATGCCAGCGAAAAGACACTGACGGGGAAGAAAGAACGAGACTTTTCAAAGGGGAAAGGAAAGAGAGTTTGGGGGAGCCTTGGATTTCATGATATCATGTCACGCGGCGGGCGATTAGATAACCTGGGGACCTTGCGGGCAACAACGCTGCTTTGATCCAAACAGCGGCTTTGTTCCTCTTGAACTTCTTTCTTTTTCTCCCCTTGCCTGCAGCCAACGAATCGCCCTTTCACTGCATCTCTGCGGCACCGTTGGAGAGGCTCATAGAGGAGCCACTCGGGCGAGGTTTAAACTACCAAGTCTTAAGGAAACATGATAATACGCTGCTCGGAGCCTCGTCCCCCTCCCGAGCCCCTTGTACAACTCATCGCGCCTTCAACGCCCCTGTCCGCTAGTCGCCCTACCACCAGACTCCAAGGTCCCCAGGCTAATTTCTCATCGGGCCATGAGCTGCAGCAACGAAATTGGTCATGGCGAGTCACGTAGCAGTATGTCTAAACTTACGATATATTGCCAGCGCCAGCGCCAGGCAACAGCCCTGAATGGCTCGGAGTCCGTGATAAGCGTATAGTAGTATGTACGTCCTCCCTGGAAGTGAGCCCATGCATGCGACGCGCAACATGGTTGGCGGTATGGGAACTCCAATTCATCAGCTAGAGCGGAAGGCCTTAAGTAGACTTTACCTTGCGGTTCCTGCTCATGAAAGTTGTAACGTGATGTAGACTGCCAGCTATCGAGAACTAGACTTCTACTAGACGTCTAATTTACCTCGGAGGCTGAGTTCCATTATTCAAAACTGCTAGCAAATTGCTGCGGAAGACAGTTCTCCTTGTGCAAGCGAATCATCTTCTCTGGAGACATACGTCCGCTTTGCAGTAAAAATGCATGATCCAGAAGCCGGGGTGCTATTCACGTTATATGCCACAGACGTACCTAAGCATGCGTTCTAGCGAAAGAAACGTAGTATCCAGAGATTGTGGCACACTTTAACCTTGATCCGACACGCTTGACCCTAAATCAGTCCGAAGGTAACCTTACTTGAATGTTCCACTCCCAACGAGAAGCGCACTCTCGCAAAAGCTAGATGACATGGCGGCGAGGGCAAGTTTTTCGGCGTTGCCGGTTGCATTAGCGTGGGACTATGGGGCGTAAGAGGATCTGAGGGCCGCATGAATGGTCGGCGCGAGTTAGCCTAAGATTTTAGTTGATCGTCAGTCACCAGTAGCACTCCAGATTCCAGTCATGACAGCCATACCTCAGGATGGCACATACTTCCCAGTGGTCAATGCCTCTGCGTAGCTTTGAGAGCCAAGGCTCTAGGAAGCATTTATAGTTCTTCTTCTTGGTACATGTCAGACCCCAAATCTTGAATCGGAACCCGAAGTACCATCCATTTGACTCTATATGACGGAGTCTGGAGAAGCAGAAGAGTGTCATTCTTGCCCTGGGTAGTCATCTGTGTATAGCCTGTCAAACCAGGTGACATGATTGTTGACAAGAGAAGAATATTCATGCTCGCTATCTTTCGAATGGTCAATTGTGTATGACTGACGCAGTGGCTCTTCAGTCCATGGCTCTCCTGCAGACTGATCTCCCCTGCACACTCAATTATCAGATAAGCCTGTACCTGCTGCCACTGTCCGGAGAATATAAAAGTGGTACAAATGCAACCGCATGAGATATCAAATACCTGTTGACAAATCATGAAGTAATTGTCGGAGAAACGTCAGTAGTCAGGAGAGAAGGAGAATGCTAAGACGAGCCAAGTTGATATAACAACGTGGATTATGCCCCGAGCAGTGCAACCACGCAAGCCGCGGTGCCCAGAGAAATTGTCGCACCGGCCAAACTAGCCATGAATAAAGTGCAACGTGAAAGGCACCCAAAGTCTATCTTCGGCGTCGAGTGACGTACAAGGGGGCTCTGTCACATGATGGCAGGCAACCAGCACTAGAAAAGTATCAATTCGATTTGATCAAAGACACTTCCCCTCTCAACTTGGGCTACACAAGCACCAGAATCAATTACTCACTGGCATCACTTTGCCAGCAAGACAGCCTCCTCATTTCTAATATAAAAGCACCCTCAATCGCCGCCCCCCAAACCGACTCGAGGATTGTTTTCGTCTCCATCCTCTTCTCCCTCTATCATCTTTATTCCCAAGCAGGTACGCTCCAAAGCACAACATCAAGCAATCATGTCTCCCATCCAATCCCTTGGTAAACTCCTGGTTCTGATTCTCGTCTCTTCAAGCTCCGCCATGTCTCTCACTCGCTACACTGCACCCATTCCCCAGGGCGCGAAGGTGGTCGAGACGCGTGAGCAACTCAACCAAGTAGTCCGGGAAAATCCCGAGACTGTCCTGTACGATCAGGATGGTGGCTACATGTTGAAAGATGAGAGCGGAACCGTGGTTGCTGTAGCTGCGGACTCTCTGTGTCCCGAGTTGGACCAGGCCTTGGCTGAAGTTGAGGCCCTCCAAGCAGAGACGAAGCTGGCTGGCAATGCCGGAGACCAAGGTGATACCACCAGCAAGAAAAGAGACGTTAATGATGTTCAGGACACTAATCGTCCACTTCGCTGTTCTCATCCTAGATGCTTCAATTCCGCCATCTGCCTGACCTATACCGATTGTCACGTCTGTTTGCGACAGCACCACTGTATCTGAGGTGGTTGATACTTTACACGGTGGGGTTTGGAGGGGTGGGAGGAGCTTGAGATAAGGAGGATTTGCGAAGAATGGGATTGATGGATGTGTTATAGTGGACTATTTGGATGCAGGAGGGGCGATGTATGAATGCATATGCAGACTGGGGCAGAGATCGTTGTCAATGGCTTGCTTCTTTGCAGTGGCCTGGCTCGAGAATGTGATGCACTTCAATCTTCTTACAATATGCGCGCAGCGTTGTAATGATGTAAGAACATAGAAGGGATTGCCAGATCGTCAATGCATAGCCAAGCGTAGATCATTACTACACCTGAGAGACACAAGTCAACCTCAGCATGTCTTCTATATTAGCTACAAGAACAAGTATGCGCACCGCATATACATGAAGACAACCTTGAAGCCTGCTGAATACAAGCGACGGAAAATGAACATGATCGTGCCTACAGCCAAATCACCGATAGACCGCCCATCGCAATGACCATACAATATCCCATAATAGCACCATGTACAAGAAAGACGCATCAATAAGTTAAGAAAATGAGTTGGGCTGCTCTCAGCAAGACATCTTGGATTTCAATTTTCGTTTTTCATAATTCCGCCTTTAGCAAGATGCTTTTCAAAGCATCGTCTCAACCATGAGCATCTCAAGGAATTTTCATATGCAAAAGCTCCTCCCAAAGCTTGTTGAAGTCGTCCCAGGTCATTTTCGAGGCTTCCTCGGGGGTAGTCCTTGCATAGACGATGTGCGCGTAGTTTTTTCCTTCCGAATGTCGCTTTGAGAGTCGCGAAAGCAGAATGCAAGTAGCCTGAAGAGGCGAGATAAACGTTGGATCCAGCTCGTTGCATGATGAAACTATTCTTGCCAACAACTCAACGTCATCCTTGTATGAAACATGGGGAGCGCTTTGGCTAAAGTCCATCAGACCCCTGTACCGTATCACCAAATTTTTAGCAATGGGAGTCGAGGCGATTTTGAGGCATGTCTTTAATAGGACGTCGGCATATTCCGTGGCCTGCGGCGTAAAGCGAGGATCGAAGATATATCCCTTTGGTATGTTGTGAAGTATGTAGATTTTGACGCAATCTGATAGATATTTCCAGTTCTCCCAGATGGAGGAATCGTCCTTAGGAGGATGAGGGAGTTCAAGATTGACAAGGTCTTGTAAATGCCATTTCTTGAGCTTTCCCCGGACTTGAACGTACCACTGATGCACACTGTCCATGGTTAGGTCAAAGTCGATTTTATCTGCTAGTATTTCGTCTTCTGACGTGCTGATTTTCCGGACGATTTCCATATTGATGCGGCGTGCCTGTGTATATTCCATGATTATGGGATGAAGAAGGATGGTGCAAATCACAGATTGTGAGAGAAAAGAGCAAATGAATGATAGCCGCCATATTCTGGGAAATAAAGTTGATTAGAATCCATAGCCTCAAGTAGAAGAACGGGTTGATTCAATGCTCACTACTAAGCTGCTCGGGAATTGCCTGTCTAAAGTCGGGATGCTTCTAGATCGACTGCAGGGAATCTCCTGTCCTTCACCGAGCCTTGGCCAGTGACCTTATAGCTGCAGGGAATGCTATGTGGAGTCCGGGGCATTTCATCATGGTCAGTAGGTCATCTGCACACAGTGATCATCCGACCAGCGTGGCATCGAAGCTGGCATAGCATATAAAGAAGTCTCGAAGCAGCTGTTAGGGAATTTCCGGTCATTCCCTGTCCATATCATAGCCCACACACAGTCACCAGTGGCAGTTGCACTCCTCCAGACAAGTGAAGACCAAAACTTACCAGTGACACGGTGTTTGTAGATTACCCTTTTGGGACCATTCAGGCTATACTTCCTGATCATCTGATTGCCGCCCGCTGATTGGTCTCCGCTTCAGCATCAATTTTACTCTCTTCGGCAATCCACTTTTTTCTCCGTCCCGATTCTATCCATCCATCTCTTCCATCCTTATCCTTCCTCTCCTCTCCTCCTCCCCTTGGACATCCTCCCTCCCTCCATCACCGCCAACCATGTCCAAGGCCACCTTCGCGGCCATCGCCGCCGCCAGTGCCGCCACGGGCGCCGGTCTGACGGCTCTCTTCTACTCTCCTCGACCCCAACCACAACAGCAGCAGCAACCACTCCCCCAACAACAACTCCCTCCTCACCCTCCGACCACCACCACCTCCAAACTCCCCGCCCCTCAACCCGCCGCTCCCTCTCTCGCCCCCAAACCCACCCCAACCAGCGGCTCCCCCGTCGACCCAGCCGGCATCTACCAATATGGCTTCCCCGGTCCGGTAGCCGACACTCTCCTCTCTGCGCCCCTAGCCGGCGCCTACGACCGTCGCACACGCAACCCATCCTGGGTGGCCGAACACATCACCCCGCAGTCCCTGGCACAGAAGAACGCGGACCGCAAGGGCAGCACATTCTTCGAAGACACGACGATCCCGCCGCTATTCCGCGCCAAACTGTCCGACTACTTCCGCTCCGGCTACGATCGCGGCCACCAGGTGCCCGCCGCGGACGCCAAATGGTCGCAGGACGCCATGGACGCGACCTTCGCGCTGTCGAACATGTGTCCGCAGGTCGGCGAGGGATTCAACCGCGACTACTGGGCCCACTTTGAGGAGTTCTGCCGTGACTTGACGAAGAAGTACCCCTCCGTGCGCGTGGTTACTGGTCCTCTTTACTTGCCTCACCGCGATCAGGATGGAAAGTGGCGTGTCTCGTATGAGGTTATTGGAAACCCGCCGAATGTTGCTGTCCCGACCCACTTCTACAAGGTCGTGTATGCGGAGGAGGGCCCCGCTACGGCGGGTAAGGTTGCGCTGGGTGCGTTTGTGCTCCCTAATGCTAGGATCTCGAATGATAAGCGCTTGACGGAGTTTGAGGTGCCGCTTGAGGCTGTGGAGAGGGCTAGTGGTCTGGAGTTTGCGGCCAAGTTGGATGCTGGCCGCAGGAAGAGACTGTGTCAGGAGGTTAAGTGTGATGTTGTCGTGAGGGAGTTTAACAATGCCAGCAAGAAGAAATAGATCTGGTTTGGTGGTGTAGATTGAGATATGGAGGGTTTGTGGATAGTGAGTTGGAAGGGAAAGGTTTCCTTCATTTGTATTTTAGACTTATCATTATTCCCTTTGCATGGCCTGGGATATCATTAGGTCGATTTCGGCTCTGTATAGATTGACATTGCATCTATATATGTATACATATTGATCGCTCATGAAGGCGTTCACCCAGGTCGTATAGATATAGATATAGGTATAGCCATAGCGCTGTCTCCACAGCCAGTTCGTAACCCAACTTCTGCGCCCCAACGCGGGTTTATACACACACACACACTGAACCCATCAACCACTCACCAACTCCACGCCAAACCAGACTCGTAAGCAGACCATATCAACATTGAAACGCAACCCCCGACTTAGTTGCAACATTCCCGCCTCTCCCCGCAAACCCTGTCCCTTCGGAGCTCACCTCCACCAAACCAGGCTTGATCCCCTCCTTGTCCTTCTTTTTCTTCTTCCCCGACGACACAGAATCCTTGTTACTGTCATTTGACGGTGTGACATCCGTCTCGCAGACATAACATAGAATCCGTCCATGCAGGGCAGCGGTCTGCTCCTGTTCTTCTTTCGAGGCGTGCGGGTCCGGCGCATCGTGCGGAGTCATGAATTTGTTAACGCATGGTTGGCAGATGACGTGGCCGCAGGGTTTCGTTACTGGATGTAGTAGAGCTAGGTTAGTATTCGCGTTGAGAAAATACGTGGTGGGTAAGGCGATAAGCATACGCATTGCTTTGAGCCCGTTCGTCAGTGTTTTCTTGCAGCTTGGGCAGACACGGGCCGGGGAGCCATCAGAGGCCTTTTCTTCAGTGAAGTGCACCTCGACTAAGGATTTGAGAGAGTAGCTGTGGCGGTTAGAGTCGGTAGAAGCAGGGCAAATGGGTGTTAGTTTAATGGTTTTGTTGGCGGCGATTTCGTTCGGGTCGGTGGTGGGTGTGAGTGAGGGGACCCAAAAGGATGGGAGGGCTGATTTGTTTGCTTCCTGGGGATGGTCAGTGAGCTTCTTACCAAGGAGAGTAGACAATAGTAGTAGACCTTTTCTTTCTTTAACTCATTCTTCAACCGTTCCTGCTCCTCGCGCGCAATTCTAGCCATCTCTTTATCATCCAACTCGAACACCTTCTTCCGCTTCCCGTCCACTTCTACCTCTCGCGCCTTGAAAGCAGCCAATGCCTCTGAGGTATCTGCTTTCCGCTTCTTAGAGCTCTCGTCATTTTGTGATTGGCTTGACCCGTTCTTCTTCTTTGCTGCTGCATCTAACCCCATGCTCACTAGTTCGAAATCACGGAGTTCCCGTGTTCGCGCTTCATCTAATGCCCGCTCCTCCTCCTCTGCAAGACGCTTTTTGGCTTCATCGCGTTCCTTTTCGAGACGCTTGATTTCCTGTCGCTGGGCGAGAAGGTCGCTGATGGCGCATTCGCGACAGAAGAGATCTCCGTTGGTGGCGCAGGCGACGACGGGTTCCCGCGCCGGGTGTAGGCAGAGTCGACACGAGCCGAATGGGAGGAAAGAGTCGCGGCCGATGACGCCGCGTTTGGTGCCCCAGCTTGATTTGAGGAGATCGCGCTCGTAGGAGGTAAAGTGGGGAAGGGAGGTGTTGCGCTTAGAGTGCGCCATGGTGGTGATTCTCTGCGGGGGAGGTGGATTGGTTGATGTGAGGTTATGGATGGAGCATCGGCGAGGGAGAAGATATTGCGGAGTGGGGATCGGAGGTCGGAGGGTCGGTGCGGAGTAAGTTATGTGGGTAGATGAGGGGATGAAGCTTCCGGTAACACCAATTCAAATATTCAGGGAGTTAAATATGTGACAGGCCAAGCCAATGGCTAAAATAAAGCAAAACAAGATGGTCAAGAGGGGAGTTCAGTTGAAGGAAAGTTGAAGCTGGAGAAATCGTGGCCGACGCGATTATGTCATGCCGTCACATGCTATCCATCCATCCCACAGGTCCATCTCTTCCTCTTCCATTGCTTGTCCAACTCGTTTCACAGAAGAGATACAACATAGAATTGAGACACCGGTTAAATCTAACAGAGGAGGGTGATTATGTATCGTTAGCAGTCATGATAATCAAGAACAATCCAAGCGAAACATGTCGGAAGGAGAGAGCAGTGTCACAGTTCTGAATCCTCTCATTTGATGGGCTTCTGACAGCCACAGCAGAGATAACATTCACGCTTTCTCGCCCTTCCGTGGTTTTCTTTCCCTCTGGGATGCCCTTTGGTATGGGCATTATGGTAGGTTCGCCGCTATCATAGCGAGCACGTCAGTACTCATTATACTTCGGGTCAATTCTGAGACGAGACACTCACCAGCATTCTGTCCCTCATATACTCTCCCACCAGGCCTGTCTCATTGAGGATGCTCCAACACACATCAAAGAAGTCCTTCTCTGGGTCGGTGCAGTCGGGGTTGCGGTTAGCTGGCCCTTTCCGTGGTTTCTCTGGCTTCTTGGGCCGTCTTTTTCTCGGAGCACTCTTTGCCTTAGCCAGAGCCGGGCCGACCTCGATATCTTTGAACCCTGCACTTGCTGCCTTTTGAAATACCGCTTCTGCCTCCTCAAACCCTATTTCCATAGCCTCTAGGACCTCATCCCACCAGCTGCCAGCCATATCTTCTAGTGTCAAAGGTTTCGTGGTTTCAACGATGCAGGCGGGCTCAGTAGCCCCAGTATCCTGCGCGTCTGGGCCGGCCACAGAAGCAGCTGGGGGTTTGGAACTGGTAGATTCTGCGTTGGTCAAATTGGAGGTTGACGCGTTTTCCCATACAGGTTGATCACATTCACTGCAGGTTTCAGATTCCCACGGACCTTCTTTGTTCTCTATTGTGGTCTTGTTTGCACCCATTTGCCCGTACTGTGTCGTAATTATGTCAAGCTCGTATGTTTCTTCAGTGTCTTCCTGTTGGTCCTCGGTATATCCGTGGTCACTAAAGTGAACCTCTTCTTCAGGATAGTCAAACATGCTCATATGAAGGAAGACGCCGCCGTCATCGATATCCACCTGGCTTCCAGGATCGTTGCTGAAGGGTTTCTCACTTTCCTCTTCACAATAGTCACCATATTCGGCCTCATACTCGTCATCTCGCTCAACCTTTTCTATCCAGGATTCGGAATCTCCCACGGGGTTATCGCTATAATCAACGGTTTCCCACGAGTTCGTCCCATCATCAGAGACTCCAGGTCCAACAGCATACTCAGTCGAATCATCCATGTCTTCCGCGTAGCGCGTCATTCCAACTTCACGATCATCTGCAGTATGTCGCTCGAACTCTTCATCTTCATCATCAAGCGCAGCATCAACCATCGGAGGATCCGAAAGTATAACAACCGGGGCTTCTAAAACAAACTCAAGAGCTGCGCAAATCAGTTGATGGCCTTCTCCTCAGATTTCCAATGCTCCGAAAAGACCATTTAACCACCAAGAACACTCACCTAACCGCTTCCTCACCTCAGACGGCGGAAATTCCCACCCTCTCCGCACCGAATCGACGTACTCATCCACAGCCAGACAAATTCCCCGGACCAGTAAGATAAACAAGACACTGACAATCCTACTCAGCCAGCCAGTCCCCAAGTATGTGTCAAAACCTGCCAACAACAGCAACAATCACACCCTAGTCAGCACATAACGTAACCTCACACAAACCAACCCACGCTACACGTAGGACGCAAAAAGAAAACGAATAAGAGGAATTTTCAAATAATGAAGGTAAAACCTACGTATCACCAAACCCAAACACGACCTGCCAATTTTATAGCCATAGTATCCAGCCACGCACACCCAGTACCCCGCGCAAACGGACCAAAGACTGATCGGGTATACCAAAATGGCAAACACAAGCACCTTGGCTTTTATCATGGTGTGTCGGATGTTATTTCGAGGCCATTGTTTGAGTCGAGATGTGGCCGCGTGTAAAAGGAGGTCGTGATATTCGGTAGGAGGACTTTGAGTAGTAAGTGGTGATAGATAGCCTGAACGTAAAGTAAGTACTAGGTAGGCAACTACTCATCCAGCACTACTACCAGCACACACAAAAACAATAGAAAAGGGTAGTAGCAACAGATTCAAAATCCAATCCTCTCAAGAGGAAGAAAAAAAAAATTTCCATCCCACAATCAGAAAACAAAACCAAAGCAAAAGATACAACAACTTCTACTATATCCACAATGGAGTTCAGTCACTCTCCAGCACCCACCAGACAAGACCCTTCTCCGACCCAGTCGGTAAACTTGTATCCTTAGCCCTACCCCATCTAGACACATAACAGATAATCAACAATCCACAGCACCCATCCCCCTTCGACACAGTTATGGGATTTTACACAGCTTTGATGAGTGCCGATAACTCGGTCCAAATCCTGTCATGAATGAGACGAGAAGGTACTATACAGCCTGCTTACTTAGGATTGCATGTTCTTTCCATTTAATGCTAGAGCCAGTGCCATCTTGCAGCTTTCTGATGAGAAGTCAGTCTAGTACCTCGCTTGTGACTGATTATAGCACAGACATACTATGGATGTACCTCACGTGCTACATTACCTATTATCGCCTGAGCATTGAGGTGAGGTGAGGTCATGTTGGGTGAATGAATGATAGTGGATAGAATATGCAGTACTGTATTCATCGTTGTTGCTATCACAGGTGTAGTCAAGTCATTACCTTGGCTCTACGGTGAATTGTTGACTTTACTAAGCACGGTACTAGTTAGGGCTGGATTACTATATTTTCCCTGCTGTCGCTCAGGCTTTTCAATCATGTGAATGTGGAGGAATAAGCTGAGGCTGTTGGTTTCTGATTCATACTAGTAATTTTTATTATAGTTATGCATTGAATGCGTATTTAGTAGTACTTGTGCTAGAAGTATATATTGAGACATGTATCTCATACATCAATTTTACATACTATCAGAAAGCCCATGCTAATCATGGTGCTACCGTATACGAGGTATAACTAGAAGCCAGATCTATTTTGATCCTCAAGCTAGAAGCATCTTTCATAACTAGCTAGCTCCTACATACGAATCCAACAATTTTCCAATGCCATATCACGCCAAACATAATCGCCAGAGATCTCATGCACTGGTATCTCGAGTTCAACATGACAGAAGAAAAAACAACTAAGCAATACCATGCCAATTTTCCGCCCAAGTGCCTTACTCGAACACAATACATAAGAATCCAGCCAGAGAACGACCCATCCGGAAGATCCAACAGAGACAAGCAAACATTAAAGAAAAACTGGAAAGTGGTATCAAGGTCGTAACGGCGCCGGACTCGGTCTATTTGCGGAGTCCGCGCGCAGAAAAATCTATCAAGTTGAACCGGGGGACACAAAAGGAGAAGATGGGTAACGTCAGAGCTCTAAAGCATATAAGAGGTAATAGTAATACGAGACGGTAGAGAAAGGCAAGATGCAATGAAAATGGATTCAAAATGGGGTATAAAGTAAGTCAGTCGTAAGATAATGAGAACGAAGAAGAAATTAGACGGGTCTTGACAAGGGTGAGTTGAGAAGATATTTTTTCTTGGTTTCGCTTGAAATTATTCGCTCTTTTTATGCATTGACAGCTTGCTCGGGCGTGGCAGTAAGTTTTTTGGGCGTGGTCTCGTCGACGGCATTGCTATCTTCGTTCAAAGAGGATTGGTCGGGATCCGCGGTGACGAAGGAGTTCTCAGTGTGTTTGGAGCTCGACTCGAAACCATCGTCGCTTTTGGCCTTCTGGACCTGGCTATAGAGATTTTCTGACTCTTCGACGAAATGCGCACTATTCCTGGTGCCTGGGCTCAAACTACGCAGGGAGTGCGGATGGCCGGGGTGCAATGACCCTGAGGTGATCGAGTCCGCACTACTGGTGATAGCTGGATCGGACATTCTCGGCTCTTCCGATGGAGTGGGCTTCCGAAGTTTGAGCCGTTCCTCGGGGGGCATATTCTGCCACTCGCTTCCAAAGGTGATAATTGAAGCCTTCTTGCCATGAACAGTAAAGCTAGCAGACTTGCGCGACAAGCCTTCGCCTTCACGCGCTCCTTGGCCGTCCTCGTGCGCGCCAGCGGCGGAAGCCGGGTCGCGAGGTTTCTTGCTGCGAGGGAGATGACCGTGGTGCACACCAGGCGCATCCCGGAGAGTCCGGTGAAGGCTGCGGCGTATCCGACTGGAACGGTCCATTTGAGTTGTCTCTTGGGTGTCGATCTGCTTCTGATCAATATCGCCTTCCTTGATGACAAGGGACTGTCTCTTGGTCTGAGGAGAGGTGTTCACCTCCAGCAAACCTGCCTCGCGAAGCACGCGCTCTTCGCCATCGTCAAAGCTTCCGGGGGAAGTGATTTTGGAGGCACGTGAAGCCAAACTGGAGACATCTAGCTTGCTGGCAGCACTGAGCACAGAGGCTTCCCGGGTCAGTCGGTTTGACGGCTCGGGAGAAGAAGACTTTGTACGCTCCTTGAGATCTTCTACCGAGAGTCGTCTGCCAATCCGAGAAGCGGCCTCGGATGACGCGAAGGATGCAGGAATGCTCGGTCTGCGCAAGTCTTCTGCCGCAGGCTGGGGTGCCGGTGGTTCGCAGATGGATGGAGGCTTAATAGACTCAGGGTGCGGTGAAGGCGGCGCCGTCTCTTTGATCGGTGATGCTAGTTTCTCTGGCACAGCTTCATCCTCCGTTTCCTTGGACTCGGGGGAGGTGGTATCCGCAGGAATCTGTAGCTGCAAACGCTTTTGCTCGGTCAAAGATGGCGTTTCCGCGTCCCCTTCACCCAAGTCGCGAACGAGAACTTCGCGGTAGCATCTGGTACGCCAGATATCCTGCCTCACCCACTTGAGCTTGGCAGCCATGC